ATCAAGGCCGAATTCCGTGGGAACGCTTAATCATCAATATAAATAAAGTCTCAATCACCACCAATCTAACAACGACTAAAATGAGAAAATTTGAAGAAGAAAGGGTAAGCACAAGTCTTGCGCAACTAACATTAGAACAAATTCAAATGAAAGTCACTGTAAACATGACTGAAGATCAAATTACAAAGTGCATGTGTTGAAGTAGTAACTAATTCATTTTTATTGGTTTTGTATTTTCAATTTTATAATTGAAAACAATACTAAGGGAATTTGGTAAATAAATTTAAATAAAAATTTGATATTGGACTCGATTTTAAATTTTAAATAACCAATTTAAATTACTTTCTTTTTCGATTTTAATTTTAACCGGAACTGAACCGAAACCGAATCGAAACTGAACCGAAATTTTTAGACAAACCGAAACCGAATCTGGAACGATAAACATTTACTTGAAACGTAAACGTAAACCGAAACGACATTAATTTCGTTTCGACTCTCTGTTTTCAATATATAAACGATATTCCATGTCATTTCAGGATTGTTGCAATTTATGTTTATTATTATGTAAGTAAACTTTATATTGATAAATTACAATGCTTTTTGAATTTTTATACAATTTTATACTTCTTGTATTTAAAATTGGCAACAAAAATCTCACTAATTTACTTATTGTAATGTAAAATTATTAATAAAACAGTAGTCATTATAAAAATAATAAAGTAATAAAGGCTAATTTTACAAATACCTCGCTTAATTTGGCATTGTTTACATTGTTAAATAAAATCGACTAATTGATAATTATATTTAATATATTAAAAAAAATGTAAGTTCCAAATACTTTATTTCTTCACATTTTATTGTTATTATTGTAGATCTAAAGATTACAGCAATTATACTATTTTTTATTTAAATATCTCAATCTTTTGTATAAATTGTTATTTTGTAAACCTGTCTCTTCGATGTATTGTATATATTTAAAAAAATTGTCTATTTTGAATATTAATGACAATTTATGTAATTTTATAATTGTTGCAATTAAAATTACAATTGTTAATCATAAAACACTAGCATTTATAGCAATTAAATCTAATTTAGAAAGTAAATAATTGACATGAATAAATTCCTTATTAAACCCGTCTATTCGAGATATTAAATATATTTCAAAAAGTTGTTTTTTCCCTATACATTTCTTCATATTATTTTTCCATTAACAAAAATGATCTTTGAACAAAGTCTTTACAATTTCATATTGATTTTACTGAAAAGTAATATAAAACCAGAAAGTTACATTTTATTTTTCATTAAAGAAACTTCCAAGGAATATCAAGTTTATATGATTAATTAGAAAAAATCAATACTATGAAAGAAGTGACTTAATAATAAATTTTAAATTAATAAATATTATCCAGGGGTGGCTCAGGAAGTGGCGGATCAAAGTCAACAAAACCAAATCCAGCCATGTAACTTTCACCCTCAAAAAGGGAACCTGCCCCCCGATCAGACTGAACAGCAAGCACATCGCAACCAAAAGGAAGCAACTGGGCATCAAGTTCGAGAAATTGAACAAACTATTAATTTACAAGACAGTGCTGAAGCCGGTGTGGACGTACGGCATCCAGATTTGGGGAACAGCCAGCAAATCCAACATCGAGATCCTGCAACGCTTCCAGTCCAAGTGCCTGCGCACCCTGCTGCAGGCCCCCTAGTACGTGATGAACGACACGATACACAACGACCTCCACATTAACACTGTTAAGAGTGAAATCCCCAAGTTTAGTGCCCGTTACCAGAACAGACTGGAAAACCACCCCAACAGTCTCGCGTTATCCCTCCTAGACAATAGTAACACCCCCCACAGACTAAAGAGACACTACACTCTCGACCTCCCCTTTAGAAACTAAAAGTTAATTTTTATTGTCCATTAGAATGAATTTCATAGTTAGTTTCATAGTGTCGTCAAATCAATTTTTAGTTATTGTCATTGAATTATTTTTGTAGTTAAATTTATAATTGTTTATAGGAAGATTTCCGATGGGAAATCGTTCCGCTCCACGCTTGTTATTTTTTTTAATAAATATTATATTCATTTAACGAATTAAAAATATCTAGCCAATTGTATTACTAATACAGTTATTAAATTGTTTTCATTTATTTTATAGGTGCGAAATTGACAAAATGCAAACTTTAGTAAAATTATTAGATTTCCATTCGCGCATTCCGAATAATTGGATTAAATCTTCCGCTCGAACAATGTTCACTATAATTCGTTTTAATGAATACATTCTACAATATAACAGCACTTAATCAAATTAACTGATTCGGTTACGTTTCTACACTGGAAAAGCAAGGATATTAAACAAACACACAACGTACAACGTGATTGATGACTACTTTATACAAACAATAAGTGTGTACAGTAGAAAATAACAAAACACGAACAAACTTTGTTCCATTACAAAATTAAAAATCAAACTTGCAAATCAAATATTTGATTTTCATTTATGACTTCGTTATATATGCAAATATTACTATTTTAATTGAAGTGTTTTATGAATTAAGCAATATTTCAAATTTGTATATTATAAACCAGTGGAAATTTGGTTCTTAAACTTCTAACAAAGATTCAAAACTATATACGAATCGGTTACTCAATATAATTTCGGTTCCCGAACAAACATTCAAAACCCTATAAGAATAAGTTACAGAACATTATTTCAGGTTTCCTACTAATATCGGTTCCCGAACAGAATTTGTGTTTTCATATATAAAACTGGCAACAAAATCCGTATAAATATAGTTGAGATAATTTTTCTACTATATGTTACATATTTATTATGTTTATTTTATGGCTGTTGTAAGAAATGCTCTTATTATTAATAATTCTCCAAGTATTTATAACAACTAAAATTAACTTAAAAAAATACTCGCTTAGTCCGGTTTACAGGATTAAAAAAATTACAAAAAATCCAATTATTCCATTTTAGATTAATTCTTATAGGATTAGTTTTTTTTAACAACGTTTAAACGAATTATGTTTGAAAACCGAGGTTATTTTTAAGAATTTAAAAAAATATTATGTTTATATGTGTTTATTACTGTTTTTTCTTTATTAAAGTATAAAGAAAGTTCTTGCAATATAATTGCCTTAGTTGAGAAGATCAGATTCGAAATGGTGTAAAAAGAAACAACGAATAAAGAAAATATATAATAATAAAAACCACCCTGAAAACCCTCTTTGCCGCAAATCGAGCAAGACTAATAAATTTGATTTATGCTGATAATAAAATTCGTTCTGAACTCTAGCAAAGCCAACCATTCCAGACGTTGATTCACCCTTCAAGACAAACGCTTCAATTTGCTTTTGTAGTGAGCAAAAGAAATTTATATACAGAAAAAAAAGTATATATATAAGAAAATAAAGGGCAACAATTCATAAAAGGATAAAACAAAATAGATCAAATCTACTCACCACTATCGTACAGCTCGCATTCGGACATTTCGGCCATTTTGGTGTGTGTGATGTCCTTGTGCGAGGCGAGGAACAGGACGACTTCCCTTTTCTCATTTTTGATGGGAACGATATCGAGGAGGCACCAGAACGGGGTTCCTGTAAAAGAAAATCGTGCGTGAAATAATGCGAGCGAGGATTCTGTAACTTATTTTTTTTCATCCTGTTTTCATCGTTTTCGATCATTTACTTTACACGTTCTTTCTGTGCCACACGCATCCGCCTGAGGTCCTTTAATTAACAAAGTTCTCGGACCTGTTGCTGCCCGAAGACGTGACTTGTCGCATGATTATCCTTCGCCCCAAATATCGGATGAACGAAATTTAATCAAACGTGTTATATATCCGTTGCTTGGACCTTCGGATTTCGATAATTAAGATTTCTCGGATTTCGATTATGAAGTTACATAACTTTCATATAAGATTGTTCTTGTAATAATACAAGAACAAATATGGATAAAAATGTATGTATTTTTGTGTCTATAGTTAACCAATACAATAAATAAATGAATTTATACAATCAATAAAAATACTTAACTTCTTGTTGAGATTTGCCATAATTATTTGTACTTATTTCTAACAAAAAGTAGTATAAGAACCAGAAATATGAAAAAAGTCTACTGAAAGGTTGTCAAAACTTATTCTTGCAAGAAAATTATTTTTTATCATGAGTACAAATGAAGCTTCAAAAAGTGTTGTGAGATTTTCTTCAATGACAATGAAAAAAAATGAATATAAATAATTGACTTTTAAGTGTCTCTTGCTTGTACTTTTTCCCGCACTTATTATTATGTAAATTATGTAATATAATGGGAGATAAATGACTATTAGCATGAGAAAAAGAAAACGGAGAAACTTTTAACAGGTATATAAATTAATTTATTTTTTTGTACTAAAAGTAAATCTTTTATTTTTTTTTAATTAATTTCCTTAAGAAAAGTCAATATTTTAGTATTATTTTTTAGTTATATATAATTGAGTTTATGTTGATAAATTAACAAATGTTATTCTAATTTGAAGATCTATATAATACACCAAAATCAGTAAAAAAAACTTTAGCTCAAATTTGGGCATTATTTTAGAAATAAATAGAAATATTGTCATATCTCAGGAAACAATTAACATTATATAACAATTACTATATAGTAACATTCGCAATTGTAGACAACTTCTTATGAAATCATAAAATACATAAAAAGTTTAATATCTTTCAAGAAAATCTGTAAAATTAAAAAAATATTAATATTTTTGAAAAATCTCAATTTCCATTTCATAGAATTCATTAAATAATCAATAAATTACTAGTCAAGTCATTAAATCTTATTCATTAATGAATATTACTTATAAATATCAAAAAATGTAAAAATCTAACACGTATATTTTAATTGGATTAAACATGATAATTCTTTATTATATTGCTTAAATTTGACAGCTAGAAAACGCCAAAAGGTATAAGTCTTCTAATAGACTTCTTGAAAAGTCTGTAATTTTGTCTTTAATTTGTATGTATAGTTTTGTCATTAGCGTTAGTGGTTGATGAGTAATTAAATAAAACGTGAAAATGTTGCATTTTCAATTTTTTAAAATGTACTATTGTCTTGAATTTACATTATTTAATAAACTAATTAGCTTTCGTGATTAACCTGTATTATTTGTTATCTTTTTTTTGTAGTAAGAAAAAACGAATCATGTATATTGATCTGAAATGGAATTTGCTTTGAGTTGAGTTTGGATGAGAACTTACCGTTCTTCTTGTAGAAAATGACTTCCAGTTTGAGCTCATTCTTGGATTCCAGCGCTTTGTCTATCTGAGATTTATGTTCGTCCATGGTTTCCGGGCCGTGAAGGAATTTGCAGGCGCATCCCTTCTGCATAATCTGAGCCCTTGAAAATCCCGTGAGCTCACAGAATCCGTCCGAACAATAGACGATTGGATACAGCGTAGGAACCTGAGCATTTCCGAGAACAAAGTTACTATCTGAAAAAGAAAAAATAACATTATATAAAATCTTAGTTAATTTTATTCTTCCACAAATAAATAAGTAAGGTGTAAATTAATTTCGGATGAAGAAAAAGGACTTTGATCATTTAAAAGAAAAGGACAAAGATTTAAAAAAATACAGTCCCACTATGTAAAAGACTTTCATCCATTCATAAATAAATATTTTTTTAAGGATAGAATCATAAAAAAATTATCTCTTATAGACGATTTAAAGGACTTTTGTCCTTTTATAAAAAAATAATGTTTCTGAATGGAAAAGTTATAAGAAATAAAATTAATAAATTTATTCAATAGCATAAAGGATTTTAATATTTTCATAAACAAGAATTTTCAAAGACAAAGGATATAATTATTATCTGAAAATAAAAGTAAAAGAAATACACTTTATTATCATTGCAATAACTGATAAAGGACTGCAATAATAAAATGAATAACACATATTGAATGGTGATAATAAAAAGGACGATGTGAGAGGGGAGGAATTATTTTCATCGGGAATAAATGGAAATTTTCCGCAATAAATACAAATTGATTGGTAACAGCTGCCGTCGGTTTGTTGATCGAATGTTGAAACTCGCCGGGCGATGAATGAACGAATGAACGTTTATTAATTGAAACGAGAATATGTTCCATTTTATTTCGCATCTTCTTCGATTTGCTGATTATTTACGGAAAGGAAACGGAAATGTTACCAATAATAGGTGGGTTTGCATGTAAGCAGAAGAATAAAAAAAAATCAATCAATGTGGAACGACCTTTATTCACCTTTACCTTTCAACGCAAGATCCAAGCAATCAACAAACATTTCAATCACTCCATTGAGAATTATATATTGCAAGATTAACGTATTTTCGATAATACGTACATGCTTATTTATGTCTGCAATAACATAAAAATATTCGTACAAAATAATGTTGATTTTTTGGTCGCAAATTCTAATAAAATTTTAACGTACGTTCGATTATTATTTGTGTTCGCACTAACGTACAAATCCGTACGAACGTACAATGATGACATACAAATCAATAGGCATTGGTAAAGTAAACGACTTTATATATAATTGAATATATTTTGATAAATTAACAAATGTTGTTCTGATTTGAAAATCTATATAATACACTAAAATCAGTAAAAAAAAACTAGATTACTTTGGTCCAAATTTGGCATTTTTTTTGGAAATAAATAGGAAGATTGTCATATCTCAGGAAATAATTAACATTATATAACAATTAGTATATTTTAACGTACGTTCGATAATACGTACATTATTATTTGTGTTCGCACTGACGTACAAATCCGTACAAACGAACAATGATGACATACAAATCAATAGGCATTGGTTAGTAAACGACTCGGTTTCCAAACAATTCAGTTCCTAATTATATTGACTATAGAATAATTAGTAAACATATTTTGTTTATTAAATTAATTTTATATATTATTAACTAATGAATGAGATCCAATGTCACAATTGTTCATAAACACCTCGGTTTCCGAACAATTCTGTTCCCAATTTTGTAGACTGTCGAATAATTCCTAAACATTAAATGCCTCTGTTTCCGAACAATTCGGTTACCAATTTTGTAATATACATTGACTTTCGTTACAACATTAAATACGGAAAGAAAAAATGATTTCGGTATTCAAACAATTCAGTTTTCGAACAGGAAATAATTATAAGTTTCAGCTGTATGTGTAATGATTATTATTGTAGAAAAGATGCTAGAAATAGTAATAATAGAAGAGAAACACTTCAGAGAAATTCTCTCAAGCAAACGAATGCATGTATTTTTATTACTCGTAGATGTGCATTAACCTTCTGCAGACTGAAAGAAAATAAAGAAAATGATAGTTGTTACCCATTTAGAGCTTAAAGGTCGCAGCTGACATGCATTCAGCTTAATATATTTTTACGTTCGTGCTCATGTCTGAGTTTTATTCCGTCTGTAATTTGATTTCCTGTCTTGAATCATAAATATTAAAACTTCCGTTTTCTATGGTTTTCCTTTTCGCATAAAAATTCAATAAAAAACAAACTTTTTTCTGTTTTTAACACATAATAAAATGCATTTTCGGAATATTTTAGAATAATTAGAGTTTTTCAATGATCTTTTACATTTATCCAATTAATGCATAACATTTTAATACTTATGTAATGAGAGATTTGCGTTTTTTTTAGTGTCTTGTATATAAAATCAGTGTCGACATAGGAAAAAGCTTTCACGCTGAACAAATGTAAATTTTGTGAATTCGTTAGACGACAGGATTTGTTTTCAGATTATATCTCATAAATAACCATCAATTCATTTATTGATTTTTGCATAAAACTCTTAAGTATAAAAGTGTTAAAGTACATAAAAGCCCGCAGTTTTTTTTTTTCATTGAAATTAAATTTAATCTTTTAAACTACAAAAATATTAAGTAAAAATTGACAAAATCCTCAATAGCAATTAAATAACGTGAAAACTAAATAGTAATGCTTCTTTTATAACAAGTATTATGTTAAAATTTACAATAATTTTCGATAGAAATAATCAATTTACGATTTTTATACTAACTCTAGAATTTTCTATTTAAAAATCATTTCTATTTATAATTCATTTTATTGTTTTCAGAAGTTTTCAATCTGTATACATATTTCAGCAAAACAATCAATGTGAAATATTAAATAACACCTGCAAAAAACGTTTAATAAATAACGTTTAAATGGAGTGCAACATTTCATGTGTACAATTAATTGATATACATTTTCAACTACAATTTAATTTCCATTTTCAATAATGAATTGCTCTCATTTTTTGACATTTATAGTTCATTATTTGTTTGTAATTTACTTATCTTCCTCTGTTTAATTAAGATTTGAAAACTTATAATTTTCATTATTATCAGTGAAAAAATGATAATAATACTATCAATATTTGATAGAAAATAATCATTTTATTTTATCTTGATTGCCTTATGAAATTCTCTGTTAAAAATAATTACTTGACATATTAGATAAATTATCCATTCAAGTATAGTCATTAAAGTACGTTGCTTAACTCTCTTCTGACAAAAGTTTAATTTTGCTTCTTTTTATATAAACAAATTAATGTTTGGTATATATTAAAATAAAACAATTGTTTTATTGTGTGTTATTGGTTGAAAGACATGAATTATTGTAATAATAAATAATAATATTATGTATTTTCAGCCTCGCATAGAGCGGATAATGGGTTCAGCCTTAAGTTAAATATCAATTTCCTTGAATTTACTTTTCCCAATTAAATTAAAATTTAGTTTATTTTCAAACAGAATTGCAGTAAATTGTACTGATCCATTCAAATATAATCCTTAAAGTACGTTGCTTAACTTATTTCAGTCTCTTGTGCTATTTATTATATATTTAGAATCTAGTTTTCTTCGCAAAAACAAAGTCATACTCATTTAACAAAATTGATGTAGCGCATTTTCCTTTGCCAAAATCTCTTTCAACAATGGCAAAAAAAAATGTTCCACTTTTGAGCTGAAAAACAAACCAAAACCCTCGCGTTTAGATGATTGTTAATAAATATGGAAGCACTAAATGAGGTAACGTTTTCCGAGAATTGGCGACTAAAATATAATCGTGTTTTCGGTTCAACGGACCTCAAATAATGCTTTGAGGTTCTCACTTGAATTTGCAAAACATTTATTTTTGTTGTCCGACCGCAATTCCATTACATTTTTTGTTATTATATCGAGAAAAAAAATCTATTTATTTGTTTTTACAGCATCAAATTGCGCGGACACGCTCAGTTACATGTAAATACTATTCATTACCATAAAACAATATGGGATGCAATTGCCTCCATAAAGCGAAAGTAGATAATAAATAACACGGCCAAATGAAAATACACGAATAACAGGAAAAAAAAAATGTATTCGTCCCGACGAATCTATTCAATTTATTTAATGGAAAATTGCCCGCTGTGTAAATATTTAGTTTTAATGCGAGAGTGTAATTTTATGTAAGTCCGGAGCCAAGTGCGGAGTGAGCAAATATATTACGAAAGCGAGGAAGAAAGCACAGAAAAAAATTGTAAGCCAGGATAAATAAAATGGTGAAGGAAATTGGGAATTGGCAAGAGTTGGTGAAAGGATTAATGAAAAAAATGTGTACAAGGTTTGAAGAAAAATTTAATATTATCACTGCTTTGAGCTTTTGCAGCGAGATAATTAAAATGAAACAGGGATATAAGTTTTTTTTTTGTAAAAAAAATGTGTTTTTTTAAATGTACAAAATTATACTCAGATACAATAATTTAATATTTATTATGTATTTTTTTCGTTAACTTTAACGTATTTGAATAAAATCAAGGGGTCGGCAACTTGCGGCTCTTTTAATGAAAAATTGCGGCTCCCATCTCCACTTTATGTAAGTTTGCTATGTTGCAAATAAAATAAAAGTTTTTTTTACAGATATTATCTTAAAAATGGCTCTTTGCTTCAAATAGGTTGCCGATTAGGTTGCTGCATTATGATGCAAGAACAGTAAACGAGTTTGATCTAAATATTTGTCGCGTCTACCATTTAACAAACTTACACATAAACCAAACTTATTTCTTTTTTTCATAAAATATAATACTTATTATATAACTATTGTAAATAATGTGCTGTATCTAAAAAATGTACTTAATGAGATATATAAATATTATCAGCTATAAAAGGTTGTCATGATACTAAAATTAAACTGACAGTTACAATGACCGTGTTTCCATGGCTACAAGACAGTTTTTATTTCTCATATGCATTTATGCCATATAACATATGAACAGACTGGATGTAACTTGATGAACAAATATACAGTAAAATATAATATTTCAGTTGAAAATTTAAAAATAAATAATATTTGAAAAATTGGTATTGTTTTACAAAATCAATAATTTAAAATATAGATCAAAGTTTATTATTAAAAATATTTATATAGAAAA